AGAAATGATGAATGCCATGTTGATTAATTCAGGATTACCACAGAACATGTGGGGGGAAACTGTTTTGACAACAAATCTTATCCTGAATAAAATACCACCTAAAGTGTGGGGGTGTTTGGCTAAGGTTTCAGTACCTGAACCAAAACAAATGAGAATCGGGCCAAAGACGATCGATTGTGTATTTATTGGATATGTGCACAATAGTACAGCATATAGATTTTTGGTTCATAAATCAGAAAATCCAGAGGTATCTGTTGGTACCACGATTGAGTCAAGGAATGCTATATTCTTTGAGAATGTTTTTCCTATGAAGGAAAGGGCAGAATCTAGTTCTAATAAAAGAACGTATGCAAAATCATACTCAGGAGTTGGTTGATCTCCCTGATGGTTGTAAACCTTTAGGATGCAAATGGATCCTAAAGAAAATATATAAAGCTGATGGATCGATTGATAAGTTTAAGGCACGTTTGGTGGTCAAAGGCTTTAAACAAAAGGAAGGGTATGATTTCTTTGATACCTATTCACCTGTTACGCGTTTAGCGTCGATAAGAGTGCTTCTCTCGATTGCTGCATTGCACAATCTTGAGATTCACCAAATGGATGTCAAGACGGCATTTTTGAATGGTGAATTGGAAGAAGAAATATACATGGAACAACATGAAGGGTTTGTTGCACCTGGACAAGAGAGAAAGGTGTGTAGATTGATCAAATCCTTGTACGGACTGAAACAAGCTCCGAAACAATGGCATTTGAAATTTGATGACGTGATGTTGACAAATGATTTCAAAATCAACGAATCTGTTAAATGTGTGTATGTCAAGAGTACATCAAATACATTTGTGATTGTATGTCTATATGTAGACGATATATTGATCATGGAGAGTAGCCATGAAGTGATCATGGATACAAAAAGAATGTTGAAAAGAAATTTCGACATGAAAGATATGGGTTTGGCTGATGTTATTCTTGGAATAAGGATTATCAGAACCCAAGATGGAATTGTCTTGTCACAATCTCATTATGTAGAGAAAGTGCTCAAGAAATTTGATACCTATGACGGTGCACAGTCTAGGTGTAAGACACCCCTTGATCTCAGTATAAATCTGGTAGTCAACAAAGGTCAACCAGTGGCTCAGTTGGAATATTCACGGATAATAGGGAGTCTGATGTATTTGACGAATTGTACACGACCAGACTTGGCCTATCCGGTGAATAAATTGAGCAGATTTACGAGCAATCCCAGTCATGAACACTGGAATGCTTTGATAAGGGTACTTAAGTACTTGAGGTACACCCTTGAATACGGGTTAAAATACTCGAGATACCCAGCTGTACTTGAAGGGTACTATGATGCAAGCTGGATATCAGATTCAAGAGATTCTCGCTCCACCAGCGGATATGTTTTCTGTATTGGAGGAGGTGCAGTTTCGTGGAAATCCACAAAACAAACGTGTATAGCTCGGTCAACGATGGAATCGGAGTTCATCGCTTTAGATAAAACTGGTGAAGAAGCCGAGTGGCTTAGAAATTTTATATTCGATATTCCATGTTGGGATAAGACTTTGCCGCCTGTGATGATTCACTGTGATAGCCAAGCTGCTAATGGTAGGGCGCAAAGCAACTTGTATAACGGTAAGTCTAGACATATCCGTCGTAGACATAATACCGTACGTCAATTGATTACAAATGGTATTATTTCCATTGACTATGTGAAGTCTAAAGAAAAGTTGGCTGATCCTTTGACGAAAGGATTGAATAGAGATCAATTGACAGTTTTGCTAGAGGGAATGGGCTTAAAAATCCACAATGTAAAGAATGATCATAGTGGTAACCCTACCATGCTGAGTGGAGATCCCACGAACTCGGTTCAAAGGGAAAACTAAGCTATGAAAATTCAGTTGAGCACTTGGAACATATGAATGTCCAAAGCTATTCCCTAGAGCACTCCAAGTGCAAGATAACCTGTTGATTGTGGTGAGGGTAAGTCATATGGACTTTTAATGAATCCCTAACCTTGTAAAGGTGGAGTATGGCAGGATACTCTTGATAGGGAGGTCACCTATATAAGTGTGAAGTATGGGCCGCTTCAAATGTAAACACTTATGAATCCATTATGTTGTCCATGGCCAAAACGGACACAACGATAGGACGGAATTGAGTTAAGACTCTATTGTGTGAATGTCATTGTCTCGGTGTACACTATGGAGGAATAGTTCAAGGCATTATGTCCACTAGGCCGCCAGTGCATCCGATGATGTTTACTAAGAAAGGTTCAAAGCCAAAAGCTACCTTTTCTGATGCGATAGAGTTTTGTGACGATTGAGCACAAGAGTCTGTATATATGTGTATTTCTTTACTTTCTCTTTTGTGGGGAATTGTCAGAAAAAATATTATAATGGGGCGGTGCCGCCCCAATTGCCACCGTCCCCCAATTGTCCAATTGACAACTTGAAAAAAAAATAAAAAAAAATAAATTATATTTTATTTTCAATTATTGGCCAACTGGCCAATTTGATGACTAACTTCAGCACTCATTCTCCTATAAATAGCCCATTCAGGCAAGAAGGAAAATGTACCAACCAAGAAGAGGAAAAGAGAGGAAAGAAAAGAGAAAGAGAAAGGAAAGAAAAAATAGATTTATGTCCAAATATCAGATATAAAAATATCAAGAGAAAAACAAGTGATATTTTTATTTGTTTTAAGATATTCCTTTTATTTTTAAGTGCTCAGTTCTCGACTCCGTTCCTGTTCGCTGGAGCTCGTAAATCTGGTGTGCTACAGATTTAGAGACGTTTTTCGTTGTATCTTTGGGGAAGTTACGCCTGAACCGTTAGCTGACACACGGGGCGTATTCTTCTTGCGGAAAGAGTTTTACTCGCCTCGGCTAAAATCTTTCCGTTTTTCAGTTGTATTTTTATTTTTCAGTTCAATTGTAATTTTCTATTTTTTAGATTCTTTGTAAGAACTGAAAATACATATCAGTTCGTAGGATTCCCGTGTAATTTTACACCAAATATCCAACAGTGTGTACACACAAACACACACACACACACATATATATACATATATATATATATACACACACATTTATATATATATATATTATTCTTATGTGAAAAATGGCTAGAAACATCATCCCTATATATACATACTGAATGAGTTGAACTTAAGTGGAAAAAATCATGATTCAGAGTCAATATAAATTAATATTTTATACAAAAATAATTATTGTTGGATTTCATTTAATATCCTTATTATTAATATTAAATCCATGCTTGATCTCTTCCTTATTTTCTTCTACAATTAGTTACAATATACTATTTTACGTTTCATTTTCCTACATTTCGTTTTCTTATTTAATTGAAACATCAATTACTATAAATGTTTCTTCTTCTTATTCTTAAAATTTTATGACTTTTTTGTTTGTATTTTAATTTTCATATAAGATATATCAAATTAATTATCCTTTAACGATCTTTGATTTTTTTTTTTTTCCGGAACGATAGAGGAATTATATATAAGCCAAAATGAACACCGTTCGAATACAAACGAGGCAACCTGCCCAATAAACCTAGAAAAGAAGACTAAAATGAGAGGACACACCCTAAGGTGGCCTAGAGACAACTCAACAACTGACAAAGAGAAAAATAACAGACCACTGCTCAAAGCCTAGTCCACTATCCCACTCCAAACTCAAACAAAACAAACTAAGAAAGAACACAAAACAAACCACAAGAAAACAAAGGCCTAAAAAACCAACACCACACAGAACCAAATTAAGATTGCAAGGTCTTCAGATCACTGAACTCCATCCAGGCAAGGTGAGCTTTGCTGACCACCACATGGATTGGAATTTTGATACCTTCAAAGATCCAGAGATTTCTGGATTTCCACAACCACCACAGCAGGTAGGTTGTGAGCTGTATCCTCTCCTCAGTTACCTTAGTCTTGTTGACAGAGCATAAGTGCCACCACCATGATCTAAAAAGAACCCCTTCTGAGTCCACTTCTTCCCATTTAACTGGACTTAGCTTCCACATCAGTTGTGCTCTAGAACAATGGAAGAAAATATGTTCTATGGTCTCTGGAGCACAACCACAGCCACTGCAGATAACATCAATGTCAATTCCTTTTTGGGCCAGTTTCACTTTCACAGGAAGAGTGCCAGTAACACATTTCCAGATGAAGTGCTTTATAGTTTTCTTGATTTTCAAGTTCCAAGTCCTGATCCTAGCTTTTTTAATGCAAGAGAAGTTCCTGCTGCTACCTGGAATATCAAAGTGAAGAATTTTCTATTTGATCAAGAAATCATAAGTTGAAGAGACAGAGAAGTGACCCTTCTTTTCTAAGCACCAGAAAATCCTGTCCTTTTTAGATGGATTCAATGTATGGATATCAAGAATTGCTCTGCTGTCAGCTTCACCAAAGAGATGGTTCACCAACCATGAGTTCCATCTGAGTCCATTGTCCTGTATCAGCTCCTTGACCCATGTGATGTGACCTTGTGCAATGCTCAGAAGAGATGGCTTGGTAAGGGGAATGCTTGGGATCCAGTTAATATCATTGATTCTAGTAGATGCCCCATCATTGATTTCAGTTCTCATACCTTGAGCAAGAATAGGCAGGCAATCTATCCATGAGTTCCAGATCCAGGAGCCATTTTGAGTTTTAGAGATGTCAAATATAGAGCAGTTTGGAAAATATCTGCTCTTGAGAACCTGGCTCACAAGCAAATTAGGCTGAGTCACCACCCTCCAAAGTTGTTTGCATATGAGGGCCTTATTGAAAGAACTGATGTCTTTGAAGCCTATGCCCCCATCTGATTTTGGAATTGAGAGTAGATGCCAAGCTTTCCAGTGCAGTCCAACCTCTTGAGTATCCCCTTTACTCCACCAGTAATTTGCACTCAATCTAGAAATGTCTTTGCATACAGAAGTTGGCAGTTTAAAGCAGGACATTGTAAACACTGGTAAGGCATTAATGACAGCCTTAATTAACACCTCCTTGCCAGCAACTGAGATCATCTTATTCTTCCAACTCCACAGTTTAGCTTTTACTGAGTCTAAGACATAAGAGAACACTTCTGATTTTGATCTGCCAATCCCCAGAGGGAGGCCCAAATATCTGGTAGAAGAATGCAGTTGAATACCAGCCATAATAGCACAAACTTGATTCTGAGCAGTAAGAGAGGTGTTTTTACTAAAAAATGCAGATGATTTTTGGATGTTCACTTTTTGGCCTGTAAATAACCTGTACCTCTCCAACAAATTCATCAATTCCTGAGCTTGATTAATTTCAGCTTTGCAAAAGAACAAGGCATCATCTGCAAAGAGCAGGTGAGATAATGCTGGGCCATTCTGTGACAATTTAACTCCAGTAAGAGCTCCTCTAGCCAAAGAATCAGAGATAAGAGCAGTGAGTAACTCTGTGACAATAATGAATATGAAGGGGGATAAGGGATCCCCCTGTCTGATTCCTCTTGATGGAGAGATAGCACCAGTCAAAGATCCATTCACAATAAAAGACAGGGAGGTGGAAGTAATACATACCATGATAAGCTTGACCAACTCCAAACTGAAGCCCATTCTGATCATAATTTTTTCAATGCAGATCCACTCAACTCTATCAAAGGCTTTCATAAGATCCAGCTTTAAAGCCATAAAGAAATTCTTTCCAGACCTATGTCTGTTGAGAAAATAAAAGACTTCCTGTGCCAATATCACATTGTCTAGAAGTTGCCTGTCCTGAATAAAGGCAGATTGACTTGGACTAATACAAGCAGACAAGCAGCATTTGAGTCTAGAGGCCAACAGCTTGGATAGCACTTTATATACCACAGTACAAAGAGAGATAGGTCTGAACTGATTAAGAGATGTGGGAGCATTACATTTAGGCACTAGAGAGATTATAGTATGGTTCCAGTATTGTAAGAGCATACCAGAGTTGAAGAAACTTTGAACTGCTTCAATGAGATCCCCTTGAATTAGGTTCCAGAAGTGCTGGTAGAAGTAGGCTGTCATGCCATCCTCACCTGGGGATTTGTCAGGGTGAAGACTGAACAATGCTGTCTTAATTTCATCATCTTCAACCGGTTTAAGGAGATCTTGGTTCATTTCCACAGAGATTGTTTGAGGAATGAGGTGCAACATGGAATCTCCCCCCCAAGAACCTTCTGAAGAGAACAATGAAGAATAGTAAGTGGTAATGTGATTTTCAATATCCCTTCTAGAAGAGCAGACTCTGTTAGCATCAGTGATAAGTCTTGAGATTGCATTCTGCCTTCTTCTGGACATAGAATAAGCATGGAAAAATTTAGTGTTAGAGTTTCCCTCCTTTAACCACTGTACTCTAGCTTTCTGAGCCCAGAATTTCTCCTCATAGGTATAAGCATCATTAAGTTCTTTTGAGACTGAATCCCATTCCTCCCAATTATCTGCTTTACCAGCTTCTCTGATTTCCTCAAGCTTATTAGAAAGAGCAGCAATCTTTTCTTGGTTTTGAGATTTGAATTTTGAGCTCCATATGAGAAGAGCAATTCTTGTCTGCTTCACTTTTTCTTTGAGCCTGAAGAAAGGTGTGCCAGACTGAGGTATGGACCAGGCTTTCTGCACTACCTCAGCAAATCCTTCTTTAGAAACCCATCTTCTGTCAAAGGCAAATCTCCTCTTGCATCTAGATTCTTGAGAACCAGCATTAAGAATAAGGAGAGAGTGATCTGAGGCTGTTCTTATCACATTAAGCACTTTAGCATTGGGGTGTGAACTGAGCCATTCAAAAGAAGCAAAAGCTCTGTCTAGCTTCTCTTCAACATATCCCTCAGCGTCTCTGTTGTTCCCCCATGTAAACTGGTGTCCTTCCATGCCAATCTCTTCCATTTCCATGTTGGAGATGAATTTGTTAAAGCCATCAAAACTTCTATCCTGTCTGGGTCTTCCCCTTTTTTTTTCTTCCTTGGCACAGATAGAGTTCCAATCTCCTATAGTAAACCACACTTCACCCCAGGAGTATCTATCTTCTTCCAGAATCATCCACTGAGCTTCCCTGGTTCTTCTATCAGTACTCATATAAACAAACACACCCCAGCCTTGATCTTCATGATTCAGAGAGTAGTTGACAGCAATGTAGAAATCCTTAGAAACCACATTGATAATATTCACATCCTGATGCCAGAGCAATAGAAGTCCACCACTTTGCCCTCTAGGATCCACAATATAGTGTCTGTCTGTAAATCCCAGCTTCCTACTAACCGATTTTACATAAGCACCATTATTTTTAGTTTCAGAGAGAAAGAAAAACATTGGGTGGTGAGTCCTAAAAGACTCTTTGATTTGGAAAATTGTAGAGGGCCCACCCAGCCCTCTACAATTCCACACCGCAGCTAGCATTGATGGGTTGGGTGCCACTCTAGGCTGGCATCCCCCACTTTGTTGGTTGAGCCTTTCATCTTTTTCCCAGACTGTTCTGTGTCCTCTACTTCCAGAGAGTTAAGATCATCTCTGTCTCTTTTTGACCCTGAGGATTGCTCAGGAGAGGGACTTAGGATCATTTGTCTTTGCAGCCTCCCTTCCTTAGTTGCAGACCTTTTCCAGGAGCTCATTCTAGTCACTATATTACCTTTCTGCATAGAAGTAATCTTCTGGGAAGTTATTTTTGAAATGGAAGGGAGAGTGAGTTCAATCTCCATTAGCTTGTCTTGCTCTTGGATAGGAGTAGCAGAGGTTACTATCTCCATAGAGTGCTGTTGGTTAGAAGTGGCCAGATCAAATAATACCAATTGAGTTGAAGGATGCAGTTCAGGAACCTCTGAGGATGAGTCTACTGTATCTTGTGGGCATGTCTCCTGTAAACTTTTCATGGCTGTTATAGGAATAGGGCTTTCTGGGATTTGCCCAGTTGAACTTGATGGATTATTTGAATTGACTGTTGCAGGAGCTTGACTAGTAAATGGAGATTGTCTAGAACTTGAAGGACTAGCATAAGTCCCAGGTATGATATCTTCAGGCTTGAGCCACTCTCCATATTGCCCCTCTTTCAGAGCTTGATTTTTAATGTCTTCAAGCCTTTTCTTGCAGCTTTTGTCCAGATGTCCAATGACTCCACAGTAATAGCAAAGACTCACAAGCCTCTCATATTGAAACCCCACTGTAGCAATTTGATCCCCCAGCCTAATATTTGTGCATCTTGGTAGTGGTTCCCCGAGGTTGATGGAAACCAGAAGCTTTAACATCTTACCACCATGAGGGCTTATGTTTTGAACTAGAACATTCTTGACATCCGGGAATGCCTTCCCTATTTTAAGCCCAACTTCAGCACTAAGCCAGTCAAGGGGAAGGTTAGTTACCTGTGCCCAGAGCAGCAACTCATTGAATCCCTTGTGCAGGCTATTTAACCCTTGCTCCCATTCACGGAGAATCAAATATTGGTTATCATAAATCCAGTTGGTACCGCTTGCAACTTTTTCCAAATCTTCCTTATTTTGGAAGATGAACTAAAAATAATTAGGTTCCAGCTCCTTAATATCCATTGGTTTCTGCAGCTTCCATATATTATTCATCGTACGCTTTATACCAATCCAGCTAGCACGGCGGTCACCTACCACCTTCCCGAACAGACTACGTCGGCATTCTTCTGAACTTCGCCGGATATCCACTTGCTCGATGTCTGTGACTAAGGCCTCTGCTGCCGACAAAGAAAATCCTTTGAGACGGTTAGCTAGGTCTTCCTCGTTGCCCTTATCTTGGGATTCACCCATGACAAACCACTGCAATTTCTCCAAATTCGACAGAGATCTTCCAATGAAACACACAAATTACAAAGGACTCACAGAAAATCCACACTTCAAACGGAAATTTTTGGAACGGTCCCAAACGGGATAATCGCCAGAATTGGCAGCTCCCAAACGAGAGAATTTATTGTTATTAAAAAATATTAATAACGATCTTTGATTTGACATTCATATTATATATATAATACAAAATATTGTTATTTTATAAATATAATTTATACTTATTTATCAAACTAAGTTAAAAAATATAAAAAAAAAAAAATAAATTATATTATAAAGTAATAGAAATTTATGAGTATTAACATACCATGAAGTAGTTATTTTATTTGAGAAAAACAAGTTAACTTTTTCAAACAAATATATAAATTATTCATCAACTCACATGATTTTAACTATCCATCACTTACAATCATTTATCTCTTACTATTACATCAAATCAGTTTTATTCATTTTATTTTAAATATTATTTGAATATCTCACTAACAATTAATTAAATCAACTTTTTCAAAATTAATCATAGTCAACTATATAACAAATTAGTTTATTTGTATTTACACACACCCACTCACCAACAATTTACATATCTATAAAAAGATTATCCAACTTCTCATGCTATATTTGTATGGATGTTTCCCGCCCAAAGTTTTTTGAACAAAATAAGAAAGCTTTTTTTTCTTTTTTAATGCTAACACTATTTAATGTTTTTATTATTTTATAAATTATTAATGTCATTATATTTGAAAATGATATGACTAACTAATTTGGTTAAATAGTTGTTTTATATGGATGATTGAATTATAAATATGAAAATATACCAAAATTAAGATACATTTTTATATTGAATCAAATAATTTTATATTTTAATAGACATGTGCCATAGATCTATGCTCTTGCAATTTACTAAGTATCTCTGATGTTTCAAGTTTATATTTTATATTTTATTTACTTAATTTGGTCAATCTACATTAAAAATTCATAGATATATAATATATAAAAATAAATTAAAAAATATCAAATAAAACCATAAATTATCATTTAAAGTAATAGAAATTTATGAGTATTAACATACCATAAAATAGATGTTTTATTTGAAAAAATAAATAGGTAAATTTTTTTAAATAAATATATAAATTGTTCATCCACTCACGTGATTTTAGCTATCTATCACAAATAATCATTTATCACCTACTTTTACATCAAATTAGTTTTAATAATTTTATTTAAATATCTCACTAACAATTAATCAAATCATCTTTTTGAAAATTAATCATGGTTAACTATATAAAAAATTAGTTTATTTGTATCCACACACACCCACTCACCAACAATTTACATATGTATAAAAAGATTAGCCAACTTCTCATGCTATTTTTGTACGGATATTTCACGCCCAAAGTTTTTGAACAAAATAAGAAAGCTGTATTTTTTTTTTTTAATTTTATACGCAATTTAATATTTTCATTATTTATAAACCATTAATGTCATTATATGTGAAAATGTTATGACCAACTAATTTGGTTAAATAGTTGTCTTATATGGATGATTGAATTATAAATATGATCATAATACAAGTCTCGCACCCCGACCGGCTGGAAATCGCCTCAAACTCGTTCTCCTCGCCGGTTGAACGCGGAACCTACACGAAACTCTCACACCGGAGGTGTTTTCCGGTGAAGAGCCTCCAACGCTCAAGTCAGATCTTGAGAGATAATATAAGTGTATGGAAAAATGTAAGAGTATCAGAGATTA